TTTGTAGACAGACTTTTGGTACGGGTATGTTCCTTTCTCCCTCCACTGTGCATTTGAGTAAATACAATTGCAGTATACCTAAAGTAAAAAATGGTCTTTCAAGAATACAATGACCTGCATTTTACAAAGCAGAAGACAGTATGAATGGAAAACATACTGGAACTTCTGAATCTTTATGTTGCAGTGAATACCTTATGTATTCTAGAGAGGTGGCTTTGGACGGTGGTGATCAAGTCTTGATCATAGGGATGGGATGAAAACCTGTTATGTCACACAGGAGGTAAGATCATAGTGCTTCTTCAAGGGAATGGAAGGAAGAGGGGAAGAACATGGGATTTGGGAGCTGAGCCAGAAGACCCAGGCTGAGCCATGGCAGCAAAAGTATCACAAAACATCCACGGAAGGCCAGAGTACCTGATACTTCCAAATTCATGTTCTCATTTGTTTATTTAATTCATTGTATAATCCTTAGCAAGAGAAGAAAAAATAAGTGCTTTTATCTCCTGCTAGAATTTAATAAGTCATCCTAATCTCCTAAAAACTAACTTCTGAGTTTACAGTCATTTTACTTGCTGAAGGTTTTTGGCAAGATCCTCAGAATACTGATTTGATCTAAGGCTGAAACTTAGCTGTACTTCTTCTCTAACTGAAAACTCAGTATGCTTCCCATCCCTTACCAAACTAATACTTAGGGAGAAGGTAAGAACAGGGTTCAGAAACTTCATGACCTGGGATTTCTGTGAAGAAAAGTTGTTTAAAACATGAAAAATGGGAATTTAGCCTTTTAGGGGAAAAAAGAGATCTGAGAAATCTTTGCTTTTAATATTTACTATTCTCACAGCACGTAAAGGCAATCAAGAGAAAATCCTTACCATGCCCTTTAACACTGTAGCAGAAATTAACTGATCATTTAATAATTATTAAATTATTAACCTTTTAATTATTTCAGGTTATTTGCTACAATCTTCACATATTGAAGTTACTGCTTCATGTAAGTTATGAATATGAGGTGATTAATGGTGTCTGAGGCCAAAGGTTGTTGCTGCTGCATTTTATTTATAAACCAAAGAAATGAAATTGTAGGTTGAAATCTTGCATTTGACTGGAATTTAGCCTATGCATTAAACATGGCTATGATTATGGTTTTGCTGTTTAGGATATAGATTCAGGGATTAACATTGTACAGTCAATTTGATGCATAGAGGCATGAAGCAATCTTAGTTTGAATTAAATCCAAGTATGTGTAGTGCAGAGAGGGTGCTGGTGCTGGCAAACCAATTCTGTTTCAAAACAGAAGTAGTTAGAAGCCTGTGGAGTCCAGTGTTTAAGAAGTATTTTACTACACCTAAGCAAAAATATAACCTTCATTGT